TTTTATAAATACTCCACTTTGTGACATTCGAAACTCACTGGACTGTTTTTATTGTTCAAAAACATAAAATGTTCCTGCTTTAAGTTGGTCCCATTTTTTTACATGTCATTTTTGGCCTATTATTATACTCATACACTTAGTTGAGGTCATTTTTATGTTATCATACCACACATTTTTCGTTTCGATATTACCTTCTATTATGTTTCTGGATGCATCTAACTCTCTACTGGCTGATTATTAGCGATTACGTTTATCTTATCTATTCGCCCACATATATAACTGCATGGTGCATCATTCATTACCCAAAAATATTATTCAGTTACCGCAATTAATATTCTGTTCCCATCACACTATATACCGGAACATAGAGTTTAGATCTAGTTTCTCAGAGATACACTCTTGTTCGTCAGATCCGAATCAATCTCACTTGTCTTCATCAGTAATATGTATTGGTATTTTTATCATGACTTAGTAAGGTTTTGTAACAAATGAGGTCGAGCACATCTCCTACAGGCTACAAAAACCACTCTAGACTTCACGACCAAAAAGGAATACGACTCCGCTTATCTCGTCTACCAGTCACTATCCTGTTCCTCTGGTCATTCTGCCAATACATATTTATCGATAACTCGGTGCATCTGTCATAACGCAAACGACAACGTACACTGATTTCGCATTTTATGATTACTATCGATTGCAGTACAGTAGGGAGTATCACCCGTTGATGCAGTTACCAATTCACGATTTGATTATTCTTATCCTACGAACGGGAACTCTATGTATGTAAATTCGAATTCACTCCTAGCTAATCGACGCTATTTACTCTACTGTGGTTCATCAAAATATTTTCATATTTCACTGTTCTTTATCTCTATATTCTATCGGCATCACAAATCGATTTCTGTCATATTCTACGCTACTTATTTTCACGATTTATTTCGTTGTCATATCCATAAACGATTTATTACTGTTTTCACAATATTTCGAATCGCTCATATGAACATGTTATTTTATCATCCAGACAGTCACAACATAAATGGATGTTAAATTTTTGTAAGATTACCAAGTTGCTCATAATCACATGCTGACATTTCCATTTTTGTCCACATCTTTACGATATTCATGTATTCTTTTACATAAGTATTACATGTTCGTATAATACACTCACTCATCACGTGACACAATACTTTATCAGGTATAGCACAATTTTTTCCCTAACCTTTAGACTATTGAGCGGACGTCTAATGCTAAACAAGTCGAACTTCAAGTAATCCATGAAACTGCATGACTATCGGTTGTCCCGGTTGGCAATTTACAGGTTGATTGTTCGATCCTGTCTTGAATCAATGTTATTTATTGGTTTTGATAAGCCTGAATGACAAAATTTTATTTTACTCCATTGTTCTATTATTTTTGTTATTACACTGTTATTACTACTGTAATTAAATCACACAGGTAATACCTACAACATTGTAAATGTTATGATTTTATTTTGTGACCTCTGTAGCAATCAATACATTTTTGGTAGTGTAGGACTAAAGAAGAAATTGGATGTCAATTGTATCATGTTTCAACATAAATGATAAAGATTACATTGTTTTTCAAATAATAGTTCTATATTCAATGTACAAATTAAATATACTAAAATTATTTACTTATTCTGATTTAATAGTGTTCACAAGGACGATATGGTTGATACCTCATCCATCTCATATAAAACGTGGAAATGGACAACATAATGTAGTTACGATATACCAATAACTTCCGACTGGTTAGTTCTAACAGATATATATATCGCATTCTGACTTTAATTTTTTGTATGGTAAGAAATTTAAAGTAATTAGGAATGTAACAAATTCAAGTGAAACGATACTTAGTTTTATTACGTTAAAAACTGATTGCTGTATTCTTTTAGGGAATCTCAAAATATTCCTCCTCAAGGCCTCTACAGTTTCTACAATTGATCGATAAGTGGGTGGTGATAAACGTGTGTCAGATCCTTCTTAGTGCAGATCGAATTCTATCGACGAAATTGCAGTGTGGTCTCTAGTCTAAGTGACCCGATAACACGTGTATAATGTTGAGATGAGGTGGTAGTTGGAGGTAAACGACGGGAAACCCTGGATTTATGTTTCGTCCTATTTGGGACTCATCGGCGAGGTGTACCTGTAATCTTGAGGGAAGTGATGTAAATACATCTCGGTTCTACAGGAGGTAGGTCGACAGGTATTTTTTCGTTAATTAATTCACTTACAACTCTATGAACTCATTAATAGATATCATATAAGTAAATGAATATTTATGCAAAATAGCTTGAGTGATTGCTCTTTCAGCCTAACATAACTTACGAATTGTTCGTAACTCACTTTCTTGCTAAAATGGTAAGTTTGCGATAAACAAGTAATATAGCATACGTTTGAAGATCTCAAGGTATCATTGGTGGAAACAGCGTATTATAAAAGCTGTTTAACTGTATGAAGTGTGACAAATATGCATTGATGAACGAAATCAGCGTTTTATATATTTTAGTTCGTGTGCGGCTTGAAAATCATATCAGCTTATTGATTACAGCTTTGTAGGTATCCTGTAGGTATTCTGTTTCGAGCAAATGTTTCGATTTATCTTAATATTCTAATTTCTGCTTGCATAACTCGTGTTGAAACCTGAGACAAAAGAGTCTTGCGATTTTTTGACAGTGTTTTCATGGGTAACTCATGAGCTCTCATGTCTTAACAAAGTTCATTGATACTGTCATCAAATGTACTAATCTCAAATATTAATTATTCTATTACGTTGTTACATTCTTTTTAACCTCTGGCAATCAACACAAATCACAGTAGATAAGGTTTTATTCAATATGATCAGTTAGGTGGATTTTCCAATTGGCTTAATAGTCTACCGTGGGAAGTAAATGAAATATTTTAGATAGTATTTTATGACTTCTGACAATCCTTTGGTGTTGTGAATATGTCACCGATGAGTTTACATTTGCACTAAATTTCGGTCCTGAATTTCCTACGGCTGGAGTCCGACGATTAAGCACTGACTACCGTAAGTCGTTTTATTGAGTAGTTTTGCCTAGTAGCCATGTCGGTCAATAAACATCGATTACTACCTATAATGAGAGAAAACTAGACGATATACTGGTATCTATTTAGTAAGATGCTAGTTTATTTGAACAAGTGAATAATTTTACATCGGATCATAATTAAGTTGATGTGTCTACTTTAAGAGCAATAGTTTATCGATGATATCAGTAGATTAATCTGTTATTGATTCATTATTTAAACCGACAGTAATTATCACGGTGAATAATTTTATGTGGATGCAGAATTTATTTCTCTGTGTTATCGCTTTTCTTGTCTAAATGTAGACTTTTTCCAAGTTGACTTCCACCTTTCAGTCTACGATGGAATAATGATGTGTATTGTTAAATTGGTTTATTATGGTGTGATATTATTTTAAAAATCATCCTTCTTGAATCTTCAATGCTTATCAAGATTTCACATGTTCCTCTTTTTTTTTTGGTTCTCCTGAAAAGTACATCTACACATGAGTGGATAATTGAATTGCATGTCACTTGTGTTTGTAATATAAAATCTTTTATTATTCGATTGTATGTCTTCATGTGAATTAACAAAACGTATGTACGTGCATGTTCAAGTTTACATATTCAATAGCTTAAAGTGTAATGATTGGTTTTGTTTTTCTAAAACCCTGCTTATTACATCTAATGAAGATCAATAATAAAATAATGATATATTTGTAAGTAGAGATCAGAATTTCTTACGTTTTCCAGCTTAGTTTAAATTTCCTCTTCAAGAGAGGAAATAAATGAATAAACGATGATGATAATAATAATATTTATTATTAGCTTTGTCGAATATTATGTTTTTCGGTACAGTATAGAATTCTCAACATAAAATATTTGAACATGTTTCCGTTTCTTACTTCTTGGTCGATCCACATAATTCTTGCACTTCATTGTATAGTAGTTTTCTTGCTTCATTTCCTCTCGTTTAAAACATTTGAATTTTATGGTATTTCTTTTTGCAATTCTATATAATTTTCATGTATTTTATCAATTTCATTACTAGTCAACGTATTATTTGTTTGTAGATATCATTACCAAGGTTTGACTTAATAATTTCGAATAAATTGACCATTAGATAAATGTTTTATAAATAAATACATATATTTGTAAGCAAAGATGTAATATCCCGACAGGTAGAAAAATTAGATTTTTCGACGTTTCGTGACTTAGTATTAGCCACTTCTTCAGAAAATTAATAAATAATCAAATCGAAATTAATCTATGTTTGAATATATTACAAATATATATGATTTATTTGACTTGATTTTGTATTAATCCTTGTTTTAATATATTAATTGCTTTATTCTTAAATTTGTACTTTTTTACTTCTTGATATCTATTATCTATTTCTTTATATAGTTGTCTATTGTTAAAATTAAGTTTTTCATATTCTTGTGTTAATTCCGCCTGTAACTCTTCTAGAGTTACTGTCGATCCCATGCCCGGTTAAAGGAGAAGGGTTGAGCATGGGGTTAGTGACATCATCCCGTAGGAAACTAACTCGCTAAAAAAAACGCTAACCAGATAAAAAATAATATTCTTGTGTTATAATTCATAACAAAATTTCAACTTGTTTTAATACACATTGTAAAAAGTGTATTATGATAACTTACATCATTTAATTTATATTATTGATTTTCTTTATGAATTTTAATCTTTTTCTAATTTTCTAATTATGATTTTGTAAAACAATATTCAATTTGATTTATTTTATATTCTAAATTTTTTCTTTTTAAAAATTGACTATAATACCTTTATAATGATGTACATTTTAGCAGGATACAGTTTTAAGGATTTCCATTTGTAATTTAATAGGATCAATTCATTTTGTATTATATCAATTTATAAATTATAAATTTTATTTTTTTTGTCTCAATGAAATTTGTAATATTTTAATTAATTTTGATTATTTACCATAATTGATTCCTTTTAATGTTTGTGAATTTCTTTTTAATTGTTTCATAGATTTTAATAGTTTATATATAAATTCATTCATAATTGTTTGTCTAATTTGTAAAATTTTTAATTGATTCATATTAATAATGTTGGACAATTCATTAATATCAATCTGTTCTATATTAATTGATTGATTTGATTGTTTCATAGATGTATCAACACTTTGTAATCGGAATAGTTTTGTTCTACTTAATGTATACCCTGGTGGTGGTCTATACAATTGGATGTCTTTTAATTTTGTGTCTGTATCCATTGGTGTTGTTTTTATAGGTAAGAATAATAAATATTTCGAGTGTATGATTTTATTCTATTTCTTTGTTGTAAATATGTAGATATATATAATTACACTGTTTAACTAACTAGCGTTATTGATTAGTGAAGTTTTAAATTATCAAACTGTAATCGATCAATATACAATGACCTATGATTTAATGAATACATTATTATCTATAACGATCTATAAACACATTGCGAATAATCAATACTATATATATTGAAGGAATTCAATTCCTGAAAAAACCGTGTTAAGTCATGGTAATCTGGACAAAAATATGCGTTCTAGCACAGTCATAACACTGTACAAAAATTAATCGTTGCAGTTCGGAAGGTTTGAAAACAAAAAATGATATGTGTATAACTATTCTTAAGTGCATCAGGTTGTATATATTTAGTAACCTGTTTTAAGATTTTTCTATATTGTCCTGATTATAAGCTGTCTTTTGATTTATCAATTGTTTGGATGTCTTTTACCATCCATATAATACACTGAATTAATCATAAATCTGTATATCTATTTTATGTCATGTATTTACCTGTTGAGATTTATTTATTATGTGTTTTTATTTATAACTTACTAAATCATATGAGTCATGATTGTAAATAATAAAGTTTTACTTACAACCAATCATCGAGCTTTTCATTATGTTGATTAGAGGCTCGAGGCCGGTTCATATGAACAATTAATGGACAGAGTTTGTGAAAACAATGCTAGTAACATAAGGAAAAACAATATACTATGATGTGAAGAATAATAACAGTGTGGTCTAACATAGGATATTTGAGAGAATGTAATATTCTACTAGGAAAGGTAAAAGAAATCCAATCAAACTAACTAGAAGGATCGAATTACGTATTTTCTGACTTCATTGTTAGAAATGAACCAAACAAATGAATGAAAACGATATAATACTTTTGAGTAGTTCCTCGTTTCCATCTTAAGAAGAAATATTGCTGATTGCAAAGAAGCTTATTTAAACAATGAGGAGTTGAAGACCAGTGAGTAGTTGCAGCAAATAAATGTGATGGAAAATTTACTGTTGAATTATATCAGAACTCCTTAAGATTATACACTGACCACTGATTTTGAGTACAATCATTAAAAAAAGTTTTCATAGGAAATTACAATTTGTTAAATCAATCAGTTTGAAAGTAAGACAACAACTCGTTGATAACATTGATTGACAATAGTGTTATGTTGAAGGCTTACTAGTTTAGATAGTGAATTATTCAGTATCACATTTTCTATGAAACCTAAACTTATTTTCACTGGTTGAAATCATGAGTCAATTGAAGCTAGACCACCATGGAACACCTGGAAGCACTGGACGGCCGTGCGCCATAGTATGGGACTCCTCAGCAGTGCGCATCCACGATCCTGTTAAGAAATTTTACAGAACGAAGATTTTCATTAATTCTGAAAAGTTTTGTCAAACATTAATGAAAATTGGCTTCATAATATCAAACTATTTCAAGATTATTTATAAGAACATTCATGTCAATTTCAATAAACAGTTTCAAAATAATTTCGCATCAAGTTTATAAAAAAACACTGAAAAGGTTATTGTAGAGAATCTTTTGAATTTTATGTCATCATAAACTTAAATGATTTCATAGATTTTAAATCATGAGAATAAACATTCATTGTTTATTCATCTATAACTGTTTATTACTGTCTAATATCATGAGTTTAGCAAATTTAAACAAAGTAGCATTAGGGAAACAAAAGACAGAATGTTATTTTCTCATCAATCATGATATCATGTTTACTTTTTTTGAAAAATAAAAAGGAACACCATTAGAAAGTTAATTATTACAATAAAAGGAAAAGACATCATATATCAACGTAAACTTAGAACATGTGGATATAAGTATGGTTGAGTAAATACATACATACATACATACACACACAGATGTTTAACAGAATATCATTCTCTCAATTAACATCTAATTATTTTATTAAAATCGATCAATCATCATAGTGATTAATTTTGTTTTATTGTAAACTATATAAATAATTTATAAATACGAATAGTTACTAAGGAAAAAATGGAAGTACACAAATTTAATTATTAAAAATCAATCTATTTAGTTTTATTGATGTCAAATAGTTTAAAATTCACACAAAATTACGTAATTTAAAGTTTAGTTAGTTAATGTTTAAAATGTAGTATAGTTGTAAAGTAGAGCATAGATAAATGATTTATGCATTATTTGCGGTCTAGAATACGAAAGATTGAAAGATACTTCTAATATAACAGATGACCTAAAGCAAAAACACCGGATGATAAATAGTACATAACAACACTTCATTGGCGACAAAATGCAAGTAAGGGTAGAGTAAGTGTTAATTTTAAGAGATGTCTCAAGAAAAGACATATTACAGTATATTTACGACTTTTCATAGTGTAGTAACCAAGGGAAATAAGTTTGAAACATGTAGCATTCTTATATTATGAGGGTCATGATCATGCTAAAATTACTGTTAAGGCAATGAGAATAGGTCATAGTAATATAAATTTCAGTCAACTCCATTCATGTAGAAAAAAAACAAGTTGAAATAGTGTTTATGGCACTAAAGAAGACCCTCTTTATGAACATTCAGTTTAAAAGAGATAATAAGGCGGAAACTCTGAGAACCAAACTTTCAAGTTCTTTAGGAAAAATTTTATATTCAACTGAACTTCGTATTCCCTTCTCTAACCGATCTGTGGTTCATAATTGTGTAAAGAACGAGCTCCCACTGGCTAAATCAATATGCATCTGTCAGTTTAATTACTCGCGTGGAGAAGGTTATACTGGTTGCTCAAAGTGAGTTCTTTCAAAGAGCATGTTTCAGAAGTGATTTTTCGTTGAATTCTACTAATATTTATTTAGTGGTTAAGATAAAATTCAGAAAGTATGTTCCATACTATTTTATGCTGATCATTTAAATATTTTAAATCTTCATGTGCATCAATGTCCAGACGAGACTTGAAAAAAAGGACAATCTTTTAAACTTCTGAGGATTATTTTTAGTATGTTCGATTCTCATCAGCATTGCCAACAACTCGTCAATCTCTTACAAATTTATGTACTAAGCTATGAATTACGCTCGTTATGTGACTGCTACTGATTATATCATATTCGTAAGAGAGTAGTAAGTAAGATATAGCTGATGATCATAGCCTTATCGAGATAAAAGTTAGGTATATAAACCACATAACTACAGTTCTGCATAAACTTTCTACAATTATTTTTTTCTAATCTAATTAATCTGTAATCAATTCGATTTATTTTTCGCAACCCAAATTGAAGATTATTTTATTACAACCAATATTCTGTGTCAACATATGAATTTTCTTCTTTAAAATACTTATTACCAATATTATGTCAGATTTCAGGGTTCGTGTTTAGCAAGTTTAACTTTTAATGTAAAGTATTAGTGGAAACGTATATTCTAATTTTCTTAAACAAAGGTTAGTAATATTTTTATGGTCTCTGTGACAATTGTTGCTATATTTATGATCTGTCTATTCCCTTTTAACTAGTCACTTAACTTAAATACACTTTTCTATCAGATCATCAAATAAGGTACTTTAAACAATAACATTTGACTTAATTGAGATTTGAACGTGTCAGAAAGTCATGAGTTCTGTAAACAAAAAGAACAAAGCATATTTCAAATGACATGTGAATCTTAGTTATTAATGTAAGCTTTATTTGGTAGTTTCTTAAGTGATTTGGTCATATTCTTAAAATGTTTCTACCTTTAAACTGTTGTATTATAGATTTATTATTATTTTTCGTAGATATAGTAGGTAAAAATACAAGGAAATGAAATTAAAGAGAATACAACAAGTCGTGAATTTAATATGAACAAATATATTTGCATAGAATGAATATTAAGAACGATGCAGAATTGTTCGCAAGGATAAGTAAAAACAAAAGCCACAATTGAAAAGTACGGGATTTATTAGTGTTCACCACTAAATTTATGAGTATGAATTAAAAAATAAGTTATTCTTCTAAACTCATGTATTTTTTTCAATTTGATCCCTTTAATAAACAACAACATCAGTTTTAAAAAACTCAAGTTCCGTAGGATTTGTTATAAACATAGAAAACGAAGTGATCCGTATTTAAGCTAGGAGTGAGTTGAGTTGAGTACGGTATCACTGAACGTATGGACTAACCATGATAAGTCACTTTTATAAAGATTTGTCATACATCATGTGTAATATGTGTAAGAATTTGTCAATAAAATCTTTTCAGAGAAAAACTTAAAGGAGATATGACATATTTGGGACATGTTGTGGTTGACGTTCAACATGTTGTTGTGTCTTTATTTTGTGTACTCCCTGAAATCTAGCTTGGTTTTCAAAGCATACACATTTTATTTGTATCCTTGTTGTTTTAATTATTACGGGTTTCTTTATTTCGGTTAAGTGTTGCTTTACCTCTTTTCCTATCCTTTACATCTCTGCTAGTTATGCGAAAGGGGTTGTGTTGAAATTTTGTAATCGACTCTTGGTTGTAGACAGTGTGACTAAAGGTAGGCCAATGGTGTCGTGGTCACTAAACAAAAGGAAGTAATTTCAAACATCAGTAATTTATCGTCTGATCAAGCTTATTGATTCCTCGAAACTTTGAGAAAAAGCCGTCGTAATTCGATAAGTTCCCTAATTAATGCTAAATTACATCAAGTTAACTCCACCTGTAGCTCTTCTAGAGTTACTGCCGGTTCCAAGCCCGAATAAAGGAAAAGGGTTAGGCATGTGGTTAGCGACATCACACCGTAGGAAACTAACTCCCTAAAAAAACGCTAGCCAGAAAAAATTATTCAAACAATTTAAGCTCTGCCCTGAGAATTAGGTCTTCATTTAGAAGAATTGTGACGCTTCATGGTGAGAGCCGAAGTCCTTCGGAAGCCACGAGGCCGATGCCCCTTCTAACAACCAGAGCAAAACTTTTTATAGGTACATGGAACGTTCGAAC